TCGTTTCGAGCGGTTTGCTCCTTGGTTATCATTTGCTCCAGTCTCTTTCGACGTCCTCTGTTGCCTTTTTCGAACGATGTGCTCCTTCGTTTGAGATTCTCTAGCTCATTTCGAGTGGTTTGCTCCTTGTTTTCAACTTCTCTAGCCTCTCTCGACATTCTCTCGTGTCTTTCGAGCAGTTTGCTCCTTTTTCTGAAATTCTCTAGCTCCTTGTTTCCTTTTCTCTAGTCCTTCTTGAAATCTCTAGTCCCTGTCGAGCGGTTTGCTCCGGTGGTGCCTGCACCTGTGCATGCCCCAAACGCTTGCACGCACTGGAGCTCCACCATTGTCTCTGGTGTGTGAATGTGCTCGTGGCATTGTGTCACCGAGCATAAAAGCCCCGCCCGCCGGCCCTTCGCACAGGGTGTGGTCAGTCTGCCTGTCCAACGACAGGGCGATGTGAAGTTGCTTGCTGCCGTGGCAGCCGCTGACAGCTGTGCAGAAGTGCCAGAAAAGAAGAGCGACATGGTGTATGCAAGTGTTTTGTTCTGACAAATTCTAGAGTTCCTTTCTAGCGGTTTGTTCCTAGGACGTCTCGAGCGGTTTGCTCCTTGTTTTCAACTTCTCTAGTCTCTTTCGAAATTCTCTAGTCTCTTTTGAGCGGTTTGCGCCTTGTGCTGAAACTCTCTATAGGTCCTTTCGAGCGGTTTGCTCCTTGTTTTCAACTTGTCTAGTCTCTTTCGAAATTCTCTAGTCTCTTTTGAGCGGTTTGCGCCTTGTGCTGAAATTATCTTTAGTTCCCTTGGAGAGGTGTGCTCCTTGTTTTCGACTTCTTTAGTGTCTTTGGAAATTCTTTGGTCTCTTTCGAGCGGTTTGCTCGTTGCGCTGGAATTCTCTTCAGTTCCTTTCGAGCGGTTTGCTCCTTGTTTTCAAAAACTCTCTCGTTCATCTCGAGCTGTTTGCTCCTTGTTTTCAACCTCTCTAGTCTCTGTCGAAATTCGCTAATCTCTTTCGAGCGGTTTGCTCCTCCTTGTGCTCAAACTCTCCATTCTCCTTTGAGGGGGTGTGCTCCTTGTTTTCAATCTTTCCTGTTTCTGTCGATATTCTCGAGTTTCTGTTGAACGGTTTGCTCCTTGATCTGAACTTCTCCAGTTCATTGCGGGAGATTTGTTCGTTGTTTGCACTGTTTCTAGTCTTTTTCGAAATCCTCTAGTTTTTTCGAGTGGCTTGCTCCTTGTGCTGAAATTCTCTATAGTTCCTTTCGAACGGTGCGCTTCTTTTTTGCAACTTCTTTAGTCTCATTCGAAATTCTCTAGTCTCTTTCGAGCGGTTTGCTCCTTGTGCTGAAATTTTCTATAGCTGCTTTCGAGCGGTTTGCTCCTTGTTGTAAACTTCCCAAGTCTCTTTCGATTTTGTAGTGTTGTCTGTTGTTCTGAAATCCTCCAGTTTTTTCCGAGCGGTTTGCTCCTTGTCTTGTTTTCAGTTTATCTTGTCTATTTGGGAAATTCTCGAGACTCTTCCGAGAGGCGTGCTCCCGAGTTCTCAAGGTTTCTAGTCCTCTGCTTGCGGCTTGCTCCTTTTTCTTATGTTCTGTAGTATCTGTGTTAAAATTTGTAATCTCGTAATCTCTTTCGAGCGGTTTGCTCTTTGTTCTTGGATTCTTGTAGTTTTTGTCTCAAACTGCATAATCTCTCTCGAGCGGTTTGCCGTGTATTTCGAATGGTTTGCTGGTTGTTCTGGTGTTCTCCATTTCCTTTCGACCGGATTGCTGCTTGTTTTAGATTGCCCTAGTCTCTTTCGAAACTCCTTTGTCGCTTTCAAACGGTTTGCTCATGTTCTGAAATTCTTAGGTCCTGTCGAGCGGTTTGCTCCTTGTTGTCAACTTCTCCATTCTGTTTCATAATTCTCTAGTATGGTTCGAACTGTTTGCTGGTTGTTCTGAAATGGCCTAATTCAGTTCGAGCTGTTTGCTCCTTGTTTTCGATTATTAATGGGGTTCTTCGAAATTCCCTAGTTTTTTTCGAACGGTGTGCTTCGTGTCTTCCCTAGTCTCTATCCAAATTCCCTAGTGTTTTTCGAACGGTTTGCTCCTTCTTCTGAAATTCTCCCATTCCTTTCGAGCGGTTTGCTCCCTGTTTTCAACTTCTCTAGTCTCTTTCGGAACTGCCTAGTCTCTTTAGAGCGGATTGCCCTTTGTTCTGAAATTATCTGAAATTCTCTAGTTCTTTTCGAGCGGTTTGCCCATTGTTTTCTCTAGTCTCATTCGACCTGTTTGCTCCTTATGTTGAAATCCTGTATTTCTGTTCGAGCTCCGTTTTTTCAACTTGGCTATTTTTTGTATTTCTCGAGTCTCTTTCGAGCGGGTCGCTCCCAGTTCTGAAATTCTTTAGTTTCTTTCGAGCGTTTGATCCATGTTTTCAATCTCTCTAGTTTCTTAATTTCTTTAATCGTGCTCGATCTGTTTGCTCCTTTTGCTCAATTTTTGTTTTATCTTCAACCTTCTAGTCTTTTCTAGCGGTTTGCTTCTTGTTCTTAAATTCGGTACTTTGTGAGCGGTCAGCTCCTTTGTTTCAACATCTCTAGTCTCTTTCTCGAGCGGTTCGATCCTTGTCTTCGATATTCTGAAATCCCTTTGGAACGGTTAGCTTCTTGCCCTTGGGTTTTTTTGTCTCTTCTGCTTGGTTTGCTCCTATTCTCAAATTATCCAGTCTCTTTCGGGCGGTTTGCTCCTTGTGCTGCAGTCTCTAGCGTCTTGCGCTTGGTCTGGTTCTTGTTCTGAGATTCTCTAGTCGTTCTTGAGCGGTCGCTCACATGATCCAATCTCTGAGGAGCGGCCTGCTCCTTTTTCTCAAGTTCTCTAGTCTTTTTCGATTGGTTTGCTCCTAGCTCGCCACATTCCTAGTCGTTTTCGACCGGTTTGCCCCTGTTGCCCAAATTCCCTAGTCGCTTTCTAGAAGTTTGCTCCTTGTTGTGAAAGTCTGGCGTCTCATGCGGGCGGTTTGCTCCTTGTGTTCTCAAATTTTCTGGTCTTTGTCCAATGGTTTGTTTTTTCTCTCAAACTCATTAGTGACTTTCGGATGGTTTGCGCCTTGTGTTCTTCGGTTGTCTAGTGTTGTTTGAGCGGTTTGCTCTTTTTTCTCAAATTCCAAACACCTGTCGCTTGGTTTGCTCTTTGTTCTGAAATTCCCTAGTCTTTTTCGAGCGGTTTGCTCCTTTTCTCGCGTTATCTAAAGCTCTTCGAGCAGTTGGCTCCGTCTAGTCTGTTGCGAGCGGTTTGCTCCTCGTTCTTAAATTCTTTAGTCTCTTTCGAGAGCCCTGCTCCTGCTTCTCAAAGCCTCTAGTCTCTTTCGAGCGGCTTGCTCCTTGTTCTCAAATGCTATGGCCCATTCCGAGCGGTTGGCTCCTGTGTTTAAATATTTCTAGCCTCTTTCGAGCGGCTTGATCCCGTGTTCTCAAACTCTCCATAGTCCCTTTCGAGCGGTTTGCGCCTTGTTCTCAATTCCTTGGTTTTTGTCCAGCGGCTTGCTTGTTCTTCCCGAATTCCCTAGTTCCGTTCGCTGGTCTCTTTCGTCTGGTTTGCTCCTTGTTTTTGAAAGTCTCTATAGTCTCTTTCTCGGTTTGCTTCGGTTTCTGTCCCTTTCGAGCGTTTTGCTCCTGCATCCCAAGTTCTCTGGACTCTTTCGAAAGGGTGGCTCCTTCTTTCAACATCTTTAGTCTTTTTCGAGCGGTTTGCTCCCTGTTCTCAAAGCCTCTAGTCTTTTTCGAGCGGTTTGCTTCGTGTTCTCAAGTTCTCTAGTCCTTCTCGAACGGTTTGCCAGTTATTCTCAAATTCTCTAGTTTTTCGAGCGGTTTGCTCCTGGCCTCAAAACATCTAATATCTTTCGAGCGGTCTGCTCCCTGTTTTCCACTTCTCTGGTCTCTTTCGAGCGGTTTGATACTTCTTCTCATATCCTTTGGTTTCTTTCGAACGGTTAGCTCCTTGTTCTCAAATTCTCCAGTTTCTTTCGAGCGGTTTGCTCCTTTTTTTATGAAAAACCCACAGCTTTTTGAGCCGTGGGTTTTGCGTTCAACTTCGATAGTATCTTTCGAGCGGTTAGTTCCTTGCTTCCATTTGTTTAGCCTCTTTCTAGCGGTTTGATCCTCTTGTTAGCGGTTTGCTTCTTGTGTCCTCAAGTTTTCCCAGTGTTTTCGAGCGGTTTGCTCAAATTCGTTGATCTCCTTCGGGCGGTTTGCTTCTTGCGTTCTCAAGTTTTTATAGTCTTTTTCGAGCGGTTTGAACTTTAGTCTTTTGCGTAATTTTCTAGTCTCCTGCGCTTGGTTCGCTCTGTGTTCTCAAATTCTCTAGCTTCTTTCGAGCGGTTTCTTCTTTGTTCTCTCCTGGGCCTTTTTCCGCCCTTCGTCGCTGTGTCTCGCTTCCTTTACCGGCCCTTTTCCTGCCCTCTTCCTTTTCTTCCTCTCTCCCTGTCTCTCTGTCTCTCCGTCACTCTGTCTGTGTGTCGCTCTGTTTTTTCTGTTTCTCTTTCTCTCATCCTCTCTTTCTCTCTTCCGCTTATTCTTCTTTCGCTCACCTCCCCTGTCGCTCTTGTTTTCCCTCCGTCTCTCTTTTTGTCTCTTTCCCTCTGTCAAAGATCTTTCCGATTACTTCTGTGTCTCTATCTTTCTGTCTCTCCGTCTCTTTGTCTTATGTCTCTTTGTTTTTGTTCCTTCGAACCCACAAACCCAGGGCGCGACAAAGCCTTGCACGGCCGGTTAGATTGTTCTTTGCCTCCTTACAGATTCTTTTGTTCCTTCGGCCTTAGACCCCAAACCCAGGGCATGAAAAACAACAAATGTGGCCGGTTGGGTAGCTTTTCGCCTCCTCAGAGATTCTTTCGTTCCTTCTGCCGCAGACTCTAGACCCCCAAACCCTGAATATCTAAACAGGAGAGTTAGTCTTGTTCAGTAGTTTTGGAAGGACTGGCATGTAATTTTCAGCTGTGGGTCCTTCGAAGAGCTTCGGCTCTGAGCTTGCGACAGCCAAGGTATGTGACGCTGAACTCCAGTACTGGCCTACACTTCACCAAAATGCAGCTTTGGATGGTTACAGAGTGTCGAATGTAGGCATAGCTCCTCCCGGATCTTGCAGGATTCTAGGCTTTAGGGGTCTACCTTGCTGGGAGAATAAGGGCCCTGGGCTTGATAAGGCCCTACAGCAACAGCGTCGAAAGGCAGTTAATTAAGCTTGAGCTAACCCCACGCGAAGACGAAGCCAAGGCCACTACTGACTGAGCCTGTACTAAACCTTTTCCGAACCCTTGTTCACCCTTGCTGATTTCTCTACTCCGGTATACCTATAATGGGAATGTTTAACCTGTGTTTAACCTGTATAGTCAATAACGGACCGTTATGAGACCATTCCGAAGTCTTATTGAGCCTGTATTCAGCTGCAACAACGCTAGTCAGTCAGTTTTGGGAAGTGCCGGGAGGCATGGGAGCCTACGCGCCCAATGAATCAAGTTGATGGGCTCGGTTTCTTCACCCCACGTAGCGAAGATGTTATAACTCTAGCTTCAGAGCTTCGTGCAGCTTTCTTTCGGGTGGAGTGAATTTCGGATACCTCGCTTTCTAGAACTGGATGTTGAGTCCCTTAGTTGTTAATTTCTCATTGCTAGTGCAGCGGTGAAGAAATGCCCCGTCCTTGGGGATGGTTGACGCCAAAATAGTGGGCAAGCTCAAACCTTGAGCCGTATAAACCCAGAACCATACCCCACTAAGGCCCTAAAGCCCGAACCCTATACCCAACCAACTCTACCTTTCAAACCTGAACCCCCTTAAACCCTCGACGCCCGAGCTCAGGTGGTCCTGGGGCAAGAACCAGGCTCCCATATGGAAGGACTACTACGAGCCCTGGGAGTCGGCTTTCAACAGTTCCCCCGGCGTTTTATTTCTTCTTGGGGGTGCAAGGTTGAGGGTGTGGGGGGTGAAGGTTTTGGGTTTGGGGACTCAGGGGCTTGAGGGTCCGGATTTTCCAGAGTTTTGGATCCTGTTAGAGTTCAGGCTTTGCAGGGTTTGTAGGTTTTCAGTTCGACTTTGTGTGCTTTGGGGTTCGAGGGCTTGGGGTGTCCTGGGCTTTGAGATTTGGAGCCTTTAGCCCCCAAGTCCTAATCCCTATAGCAGTTAGGGTTTCTACGACTTCGGGGCTGCCAGGTCGACTCTGTTTCGGCTGGTTTGGCTTAGGGCTGCTAGGTTCAAGGTTTCGGCTTTTAGTCTGGTAATTCACAGGTCCTCCCGACACTTCGGGGGTGTCGGACATGGAAAGGCCCAGCAAATTGCAGCAGCATCGTTGTTGGTTGTGCTGTTGATGTTTGGAGCTGATTTGAATTCAGGCTTTCGGGTTGAGAAGCTTTTTTGAGCGAGTAAGAGGGACCGTCGTGGTGGCTTCCCTTGGCAGCTGGGTGTTCGAAGTTTCGAGCTCCGTTTCGGGCTGAAGAGATGCTCGGTCATCCCCACAAACTCAAGAAGCACCTTTTGCCGGCCCTTAAACCCACATCTAAGAGCCAGGCTCCTAGCCGGGCCAGACTGGCCCAGGGTGTAGGCTTTAGGGCTTCAGGGTTTCGGGGTTTGGGGGCTTAACCTGGCCAGGCCACTTTTGGCAGACTTTTGAGTTTCCGGCAAAGACACAGCACTTCTTTGACATCGCCCTGGTGCCGATTCCCGGAGGCGGGCATGCCAAGAGGATACAGACAAGGACAGTAGTACTACAAGAGCAGTAGCAGGAACAAGCAGTGAGGACAGTCTCTACTAATCTCCAGGTCACAGGCTTACTGACGCTTTTTGGTTGTATACTTTGCCCTTTTTTATGGTCGGCGTTTCGACAGACAGTTGGCCCCAGACCGATAGTTTTAAATCCTAAACCGAGGCATAGAATGGCTCCACCATGAGGCTTGCTTTTTTAGGGCACATCAGAAAGTGGACTAAACGGTATCGAGAGCCGCCGTTTCCCCATCCGTGAGTACAAGCGTGTATCCATGGGTTCGTCAAATAGAAGAATCTAGAGACCCCAGCTACTCACAAGTCCTTCAAACATAAGTAGCAGAAGCAACTTTTCCCTTCGCTCGCTGAAGATGCGAGGTCTCACTGGTGCCGACCAGCCCACCCTTCAACAGCAGGTGGCTTCTTCGGGACGTCAGGACAACGCTACGAAGCCGGTAAAGGTTGCACCAGCGATTGCTCATGGATCTGCATTGCCATGTACGGAAACGTTTCCGTGCTATCTTACACTGGGACTTTGCAGTTGTTCCAACGAGGTTGCGGCGGTGGGTTTGGTCTAGGAGTCGACATAGGATGGTGCAAATCATGCAATCCGTGTGCGCAACTGCACAACTTGGTGTTCGCTTGTCTTTTTGAAGTGCCTCTGTCGGCGTATCAATCTCCTGCCAGGGGACCCATAGTGACACCGCGAAATTTCAAGGATGGTTCCAACAGAGTGTCAGAACCAACACGGAGCCCTGACAAAGGGTGGCATGGATATTACGATAGCAGAAGATGATCTTAATAGAGCAACCATGCTGGGTGCATTTCAATAACTGCTCTGTTTGCAAGGATTTCTCGCCCTGCTTGTTGGACAGGTATCTGATCATCTCGTTGGACTTGGCTTTGGGTTTGACAAAGGCTGCTCGACTCTGAACTGAGCCTGCGCTATGAATCGCTGCAGGAAGATAATTGATTTCCTAGGTTCCTGAGTAGTACCCTTCGAAGCCGAGTAGTGGGAAACAAAGGTACCCTTATTGTAAAGGGGCTACTCAGGAACCTAGTTTCTGATGAAGCTTTAACGAAAGCTAAAGGAAGCAGATGCTCGCAGAGATGAGAAAGAGCGTCGGAGTTTTCTAGCCTGGGAGCCTCGAATCTGCATGTTGGCCTATCTGGAAAGCTGAGCTGCACATCAAAGAAGTAGCCAAGATCGAAGTCGCAGCAGTTGTTTGCGTAGCTTTCACGCTCAGAGTTTCTGTCGCAAAGAAGGTCTTGCACACAATGAGCTCGCGAACCAATGGAATTCATGGTGGCTTTCTTTTCGGAAGCGTTTTAACGTGCCACACAAATCACAAAGCTCTGCAAGTGATGGCAGGGAGTCCGTGCTGGGCTGAAAGCTTCGATGTGCCAAAACTACGATCACCGGCTCCAACCCATCAGTCCTGAAATCCCGAGCTGATCCGAATATATTTGGAACCTGGGGTGCAAGGTTTCGCGTCCGAAGCTAAGTCCCTTCGAGTAGCTTTGTAGCTGGGTGTCAAAGAAACTCCCAGGAGTAATCAATTGAAACAGAGTGCTGGTTTCCTTTGTCCGTGGTGGAATTTAATGAGGGCCTGGTTGGATTCACGTGGGAAGAACCCGACAGGACCTACGAGGCATTGCGTGTTCAAGAGATGTTGGTGCGGTTGGATCGATTCAAAGAGATTGAAGTGGGCCGAATGCAGCGGACGGTCGGAATCATCGTGTCAGTTCAGGGCCTGATCTGCTAAACTGCTTCCGGCAATAAAGTTCCACCAACAAAGGGAGGCCAGAGGCCAATTCGGCACAGGTGTGATAACGAGCGCCTGGTAGTCTTCATCCGAAGCTGGAAATCCGGCTTGTGTCACAAATTCGCGACTGGAGGGTGCTGGGGGGACCGTTTCATTGTCGGCCCGCTGCCACCATCGTGGCCTGTTTCGTGGATTTCATCACTGCCCGCGAAGTTGTCACTTGGTGCCACAAGTGGCCATTGGCTGATGTTAGTTAGTTCGATATTGGCCAGAATCGGCCGATGCGTAGACCTGGCAAGCTCGAAAACAGAAAGGCTAACAGCGGCAAGGGAACTGAGGTTGATGACAACATCAGGTACTCAAGCGCTCCTAATGAATGGCACTAGGTGCAATATGGACACGGGTGAGAGCAAACACTGAATTCCAGTACATGGTCTCGATCCTAGCTCGCCATCACTACTATCCCGGGACATATCTTATAATGATTTTGAATAAGCAAGCTAGATTCCTCCTTGGAACCTCAAGTCCTAATCCGTGACCGTGAGCATCAGGCGGTTGTGCCAAGCTTGAGTGCCACAGAGCGCGCCAAAGTCTCGCAGTTGAGAGCTCGGGCGGAGATGTGATGTTGTAGAAGGTTTTGGGCTTGGGTCGGGGTTTAACCTTGCAGTCGGATAGACAAGCTTCAGCGACAACCAATGTATGGGGTAAAGATTAGGTCTCACTGGCTGTGGGTGGCGATGCTATTGCACCAAGGGGCCCTGCCAATGGTTCCAAGGTCTGGAGAGTCTAGATGTTTATGCCACCAGTGTGTGGTGGTTCTGTTACCTATATACACCAAGCCTGCAGCCGCAACTCAGCAGTTTCCGTAGGGCCCGGTCAAGGTGACAGTCAAGGCCCAGTGATTAAGGGCAGACCAACTTTGTACCCCAAACCTCGCATCCTAAAACCCTGGGACCCCTAACCTCTCGCAGAAAGCCTCTTCTTGGTCCTCGACGATAAGTGGGTCTAAAGGCTGCACCCTGAACTATAAAGCTTAAACCCCACACCACAAAGCTTAGAGTAACAGGCCCAATGAGCAGTGCATTTCAAATCTCCTTCTCAAGCTCTTCCTACCGCACCCGAAACACGCAGAGACTTCAAGATGAGTCTAAGACCCTCGCAAGCCCAAAGCCCCAAGTCCTGAACTTTTAGTTCAAGCCCAAAACACTATCCAATCCAAATACCCGAAAATCCTCAAACCTTAAAGCCTTCAACACCAAACCCTAAACCCTGACGGTACACGTGTAAAGCCCTTTTAATATAGCCTCTCCGCCCTAAACCCGCAACCCTAACTAACCCCAAACCTTGAAATCCGAATCCTAAACCGCTACACCCAGAAATCCCATGCCTGAAACCCTGACACCGTAAACCCCTAAAGCCCCAAACCCGAAACCCCTCAATCGTCTGAGGCCAAGGGCTACTCCGCCACAGCGCTCAAGGTCTGCCCCTCTGAGAACTGTGTACACTCCTGCGAACGTGGTCAGCGGGAGAAGCGATTTTGAGGATCACACTCCGATTCGTTAAGTGGCTGACAGAATGCTGACCCAAGACTCCCAGACGAAGGAAGAAGTCGTGCGATCTTCGCACGCGTGCTGGAGCGCTTCACAATACTGTCGAAGTTCAGAAACATGCAGGGTTTAGCGCCGGCGATCCCCATCGATACCGCCCCATTTTTTCCGGACTCTTGTCTGCCAAGGGCGAGACTCGAAAGAATCGGAAATATGCTTGGTGGCAGGTCGGCCCTTCGTATCTACGTAGATAAGCGTGCGAAGCGGTGATTCCTAGTGCATGTGATCGCCGGCTGTGGCTGGAAGGGTTTTCGCAGCAAGGCTGCATTGCATTGCAATATCCTGAGCGTTTCCCTGAGGCTGGGTCCTGCAGAATCTGAACGCGTGGACCCTGGCTCCTTTGGATTTACGGGCTATGGCTGACGTCTGACCTCAATCGAGCTTGCTGCATTTGTACGACATCTGGGCTGGTGATTTCGCGACATTCAACACAAGCTGAGCCAACTGAGTGAGTGCGTGAGTTAGCGTCGACCAGCACTTACTGTGCGGCCTGCCTCCCACGTCCCTCTCAACATCTCCAAGAGGCTTCAAAAGCGTCATAGCCCCCCTCCGTCACAGAGTTCAAGTGGGGGGAGAATTAGCTAATGCAGGCAAATCACTAGCTTAAACCGTGGTGTACGGTGTGTAACCAAGAAAACTGTGAAAACATAGCCCTTAGGCTGCACCTGGAAAGAGTTTTTCAGCGGTCGAGGAACAAGGGGCCAGGAATGAATTGGGGTTTTGAACGATAACGGCATCACCCAAAGGCACGATGTCGACCCACCGATAGGTCCGATGCGTAGCGGCACTGTCGCACTTGGGGGAAAGGGAGGTGCTCCTAGGCCTAGGCCTCGAGTCGCCGACAACTCTTGGTGCCCCAGCACCAGCCCACCCAGCCGAAACAGGAGCTGAGCCAACTGAGGAGTGCAACACGTGCCTGTTTGCGTGAGTATGTCTCAGGACGTGCTGCGCAGACAGCTGGTCAAACGCAGGGGAGGCTCGCTGGGCAATTGCGATGGGGCCCGAAGATTTCGCGTCTTCGGTGCACTGCTGGAGTTGTAGTTAGGTTCCATGGCAACGATGTCTCAAGGTTCCCATGATGTCAGATGTGGTATGCAGCCGTGAGCCGCTGCTAAGTTCAGGGCTCGGAGATGTAGCATCATTGCGCATCCGGACTGGGTTCTTCGCAGGGTCGGCACAGCCTGAGTCATTGTATAGTGCTGCAGCGGAAAGAAAGCATCTGTGTGCGCAGCCAAGAATCCCCGAGTTGACGCTGAGTGGCATCACCGATTTGCGAGTCCAGATAGGGATCAAACCGTTTGATCTGGAAGGCTCAGGCCTGCGGATTGTCAAGCTCTTCAACAACAACGTCATGCCCTCGGTGGCTTTGCTGTAGTTCCCTTGGTCTTACAAGGCACGTGCATTGCTGCATTGACCCCAAATAGCACAATTACCGACACAGCAGGAGTCACGACGAGATTCTCTGCTTCATGGATACGAAGGATCGAAATAATTCGGTATGTGAGTGCACGTAGCTAGCCGCATGATGATGCATGAATGTTGACTCGGCGTCACGAACGACGAACGGCGGCGAACCGGCATAGATGCAAAGTGCTCTAGCCTTGGTCGATCTGTTGACCCAAGCACTCGCATGTGCCCGCGCCCACATTTGAGCTTCGCTGGCAGCACCGTTGTCGAGCCACGGCTCCATGCAAGTACATGAAAAACCAGACCTGGTTCGAGGCTTTTCGAATGCGTTCCGATAGCCAGAAATCTCGTCCGACTCTGTCTTAAGAAATTCGTGGCAATGGTAGTCTGTACAATGACCATGCAGAGGCTCCACTTCAAGTTTTTGTGTTGCACATGCTGATGCTGCAATGTGCTGTAGCGGTGCGCGCATGGTATTCCGAGCCACGCGTCGGAAGCTCGCATGTCTCTCTTGCTTACTTCGAATCTGAAACGGTCAGCCAATCGGCTTGTACTGGCACCAGGGGCAGCAGCTCCATAGTCTGCTTGTCTCTCAGCATCGTGCTTGAAAAGATGATGTTGTTTCTTGAACTCACCCGAAGCATGCAACGTCCTAGCTTGGCAATGCTGCTGTCTCAGCACCAGCGCTGGCCGCGCCGCTCAGGCAGCAGCCGGAAGCCTGCGAGGCCCCGGAATCCCCGCGAGCCAGATCGGCGGAGCACTTGGATGAGGCACGCTGGGACAGACTTGCTGAAGGCTGCTTGTTTGCACTTTGCCGGCACTTTGAGGCCATTCCGTGCTGCATGCGACTAGAGCGCGACCAGGCGAGGGGAACTCGGAAGTCTTTGTACATGTCAACTGCTGGAGCGTTGTTGGCCCCCTTCGTTTGGTGACAGATGGCTAAGGCAGCCGGTGTCGAGCACCTCCTTTCAGCTCTGCAAAAGGACGGCAGCAGCAAGAGCCATACCAGATCTAGATCATCCGTGCCGGTCCATGGTAGTAATTGCAAGTAACTCATGACTCCGAGGACCCCACCCACGTCACACCACTCAACTCAACACGGTGCCTCCACCTGCACAAGTCAGAGTAAGAGAACGGGTCAGCTCGGAGGACCCAGTG